CAGTGGTTTGAATTGAACACACAAAACTAGACCCACAAAACTAGAGAAAAAACTTTCACTTTTATTCATTTGACACTATCATAACATGATGCAAACAATTAACCAAAGTTCATAGGACTCCTGTAAAGCAAACAGGGAGACACTATTCTCTCCTCTTTGCAAAGAAGGAAAAACCAAGACAGAAGTTACTGTAGATGACTTCTCCAAGGCCACAGAGGTGAAAAACTATACATTTTAAGTCAATACAGTATGAAAATAGGTATACTGCTCTACATAGCCATACATTATCATCTATAAACATTAAGATAAAATAAGGTCAGATAAACTACCTACTTTATCAATTTGCATACAAGAACTCCCGTAGCTCATTGGTATATTGATAGCAATTAAAACTATTACAAATTTGGCATTAAAAATTGTGGCATTTAGTTTGCTCCCATTTCCTTTTTACCCAAGGCAGAGAAGATTAATTTCTGCCTATCTGGAATACATGAATGTATTGGGGAATCAGGAGTAGGAATACATGAATGTTGGGGATCAGGAGAAGAGGAAGCAGGGCACACGTGTGCCACACACGCACATGTGCCCCCTTACCTCAGCGGTGGAGGCAGCAGGTGACGAATGGCAGACGCAGCAGCAGAGGAGACAGCAGAGGGGGCAGCAACAGCTGATCCCCCCTAAGGTAAGTGGGGCAGAGGGTACAGAGCAGCTGAGGTGAATCCGAAGGGGAAGCCCTTTGGAGCCCTCTTAGCTCGCCTGACAGGGAGCCGCACTCCCGAGCCACACGCAGGCAGCGCGCGGGAACAGTACGCGCAAATAGGCACACTCTGTAAGGGCACGCCAGCGTTTGCGCAGGCGTTCGCGTAAGGCGGGCACAAGGTAGCAGCCCAGAGGGGCACCTCCAGCAAGCGAGAGCAGTAGATGCAGCTCTGCAGACAAGGTGCAGATGCAGAGCAAAAACGCCAGGGGCCTCGCCCTGGCACTGCCGCCTGCCATGGGCTCTTCTGAGGCCTCCACGTGGGGGGGGGGGGGCTCGGTTGGGGTCCTGGGGGGAGGGGTGGAGCCTGGTGGTCCCCTTGCCTGTCCCTCCTGTGTCCGACTTAGGGCCCTTGAGGAGCAGGTGAGAGAGCTCCAGGCTGAGGTGAGCAGGCTAAGGGGGATCAGGGATGCAGAGGATGAAATTGATGCCTCTTTTCTGTGCAGGCCTGGTTGCCCACTGTACAGCCCCCACAGCAGACACGTCCAATGCAAGAGTGGCAGAAGGTGTCCAGATCCAGAGCTGCTCGGCCTAGAGGGGTGGAAGGTTCCCAGGTACACCTGGGGAACCAGGTACACCTGGGGAACAGGTTTGAGGCCCTGGCAGCTGTGACGAAGAAAGACAGAGCAAATGCCTCCAGCGGGGACAATGCCACTCCCCACGCGACATGGAACGGGCAGAGAACGAACACCAGCAGGAAGAAACGCCAGGTCCTCGTCATCAGAGACTCCATCCTACGAGGACTGGAAGGTCACATATGCCGGCCTGACCCCATGACGCGGGAGGTCTGCTTCATGCCTGGGGCTTGGGTTTGGGACATCACGGAGAAGATCCTGGCCTACATCCAACCTGCAGACCAGTACCCCATGGTTGTCATCCACGTGGGAACGAATGACGTGGCCAGGGGCAACCCTATCCGAATTATGAAGGAGTTCGAGGCTCTGGGGGCCAAGCTTAAGGAGACGGGGGTGCAGGTAGTATTCTCCTCTCTTCTTCCGGTGAGTAGGCGGGGACGGCAACACGAGGCCTGTATTGGCAAGGTCAACCGGTGCTTATGGAGTTGGTGCCGCCAGGCGGGCCTTGGGTTCCTAGATAATGACCCATGCTTTTGGGCGGGGGAACTTGCTGGGGCGGGATGGGCTTCACCTCTCTCCTAAAGGCAAGTGTGTCTTCTCTTCCAGGTTGGCTGATCTCGTACGGCGAGCTTTAAACTAGCCTCGCCAGGGGAGGGGGCTGCAGGAAGACGTGGAGACACCACCCGAGCAAGACAGGTGACACATGCAAGGAGTGCCCAGGTAAGAAACAGGGGTCCAGATAGTCTTCCTAATCAGGGGTGGCACGTGCAGCTATGCAAGGCCTTAAATGCCTATATACTAATGCTCATAGTATGGGGAACAAACAGGAGGAACTCGCCCTCAGAATAGCCAGTTCAAACCCAAACATAGTAGGGCTTACAGAAACGTGGTGGGATTCATCCCACGACTGGTCAGTTAGCATTAGGGGCTATAGGCTCTACAGGCGGGATAGAGAAGGGAGGAAGGGAGGGGGTGTGGCGCTATGTCAGAGAGCAATACACATCCTCTGCCAGCAAAATGGGGTCGGAGGAGGGGCAAGCTGAAGTGTTTTGGGGCAAGATACAAGAGGGTCGTGGGGAGAGGGATTTAACAGTGGGGGTCTACTACAGACCCCCCAACCAAGGGGAGGAGCTGGACTGGGAATTTTCGGGCCAGCTTGCAGAGGCACTTAAGGCAAGGGATATAGTTGTCATGGGTGATCTAAATTACCCGGACATCTGGGAGGAGCAGTCAGTCAGGTCGGATCATTCCAGGAGGTTCCTGGCCGAGATACAGGACCTCCACTTAACCCAGGAGGTGCAGAGTCCCACCAGAGGAAATGCCCTGTTGGACCTGGTCCTGGCCACAGGCGATGATCTGGTAAGGGGGCTCCAGGTCCTTGACCACCTGGGTGATAGCGATCATCGCTTGCTGGAATTCATCATCCAG